TCTCTGTACACAGAGAGCTGTTACCCTTCCCTTTATAGTTATGACAACAGCACTTACTGCTTGATCCTTCCCCTGATTCTGTGTCCGGGGTAAGGGATGGGGACGGTTGGTACGGGATCTCGGTAAGGGTGATGAAGAGCTCCTGGCTGTCGGGGAAATCAGCGGTGCCAGCGCTGTCGACTGCCTCGTCCTCCTCATCTCCTTCTTCATCTTCCCCGTCCGCTAACATGTCCGACGAGGAACTGGCCGCGGACAATATCCCATCCTCAGAGTCCACGGTCACGGGTGGGATAGTGGTGGCGGCCGCACCCAGGATGGAATGCAGTGCCTCGTAGAAACGGGATGTGTGGGGCTGGGATCCGGAGCGTCCGTTAGCCTCTTTGGTTTTTTGGTAGCCTTGTCTCAGCTCCTTGATTTTCACGCGGCACTGCGTTGCATCCTGGCTGTAGCCTCTCTCTGCCATGGCTTTAGAGATCTTCTCGTAGATCTTAGCATTCCTTCTTTTGGAGCGCAGCTCTGAAAGCAACGACTCATCGCCCCACACAGCGATGAGATCCAAGACTTCCCGATCAGTCCATGTTGGGGCCCTCTTTCTATTAGATTGCACTGCCATCTCTGCTGGAGAGCTCTGCATCGTTGCCACTGCTGCTGAGCTCACCTCGATGTCCAAACAGGAACTGAGATTCAAACTGCCCAGACAGGAAAATGAATTCAAATTTTCCCGGGGTTTTGCTGGTCAGAGCATCCGAGCTCGGACTGCTGTCCAGAGCGTCAACAGAGTGGTGCACTGTGGGATAGCTCCCGGAGCTATTAGCGTCGATTTCCATCCACACCTAGCCTAATTCGATATGGCCATTTCGAATTTAGCGCTACTCCTCTCGTTGGGGAGGATTACAGAAATCGATTAAAGAGAGCTCTATGTCGAACTAAATGGCTTCCTGGTGTGGACGGGTGCAGGGTTAATTCGATATAACGGCGCTAAATTCGACATAAAAGCCTAGTGTAGACCAGGCCTAGGACTTCCCCAGTTCTCCAACTTATTGAAAATTAACATTAACTGCCTTTTGAGCTCTTCAGCCATCCCTTTTAAAACCTTAGATGCAAGTTATCAGAATCTGCTGATTTAAAAATGTTTAACTTTAGTAGCTTCCATTTAACATTCTCCTGAGATGCTAGTGGAATGGAAAAAGTGTTATCATCACCATATGATGAGTCTATATCATCTGTTTTCCCCCCAAATATAGAACAGAAATATTTAGCAAACACTTTTGCATTGTCTGCATTACTATTGATAATTCTACCATTTCCGTCTAGTAATGACCAATACCATTGTCTGGATTTTTTTTTGTTCCTAATATATTTTAAATACTCCTTCTTATTGTCCTTAACTCTCTTGGCCATGGATTTCTCCTTGTGTCCCTTGGCTTCCCTTATCAGTTTTATAGACTCCATAAGTTCCCCTTTCTTCCATTTATTTTTTAAACCTACCTTCACTTCCCCTCTAAACGGGGTCAGATATTTTAGCCAGCACGAACTTCTTTCTTGATTGTGAGATTGTGACATTTCGGGCATCTAATGAGGGATTTTTAAAAGAGTCTCAATTATAATTCACATTTTTCTGATTCAATGTTTCCTCCCCACTCCTTTGGCTCAGAATTGTTTTCAGCTTTGTGAAACTGGTCCAGTTAAAGCCCCAAGTGTATCCATTGCTGGTCTGGAATTCCCCCAGGTTAGATGCGCACTTTCTGAGCAAGGAAACTCTCCTCTGTAAGCTTTAGAAATTCCAAGGACATTGAAGTACTGCAGTCCCTCCTGTCTGTCCCTCCTCGTGGCCTTACTGTCCGTCCCTCCTCATGGCCTTACTGTCCCTGGTGTGAAAATTTTCTGCTCTGGGGCTCCCGCTGTCTTCAGAGGCCTTCCTGGCTCTCACTGACTCTCTGTCTCAGCTGACAACTTCCCTTTCTTCACTTGCTTGTTTCTCTTTCTGTAGTTTCTCTCTTTGGCTCTTAAGTACAGTTTGGATGAGCGACGCTAAGCAGAGTAAAGCAGCACTCTTTCTCCTTGCAGGGAGCATCTGTGCCAGCAGCAGGGACATCAGCAACCGCTGGAGATGTCACTGCTCAATTATACCTACTCCCACCCTTCCACCTTCATCCTGCTGGGCATCCCAGGGCTGGAAGCTGCACACGCCTGGATCTCCATCCTCTTCTGCACCGTCTACATCATAACACTGCTGGGGAACTGCACCATCCTGCTCATCGTCAAAACAGAGCCCAGCCTCCACCAGCCCATGTTCTACTTGCTGTGCATGCTGTCAGCCGTCGACCTGGGCCTCTCTACTGCTACAGTGCCCAGAATGCTGGGCATCTTCTGGTTCAACTTCAGAGAGATCAGCTTTGGTGGCTGCCTCACCCAGATGTTCTTCATTCACACGTTCACGGGAATGGAGTCAGCCGTTCTTCTGGCCATGGCCTTTGACAGATATGTGGCCATCTGTGACCCTCTGAGATACACTGTGATCTTAGCAAAGAAGAGAATTGCACTGATAGGCCTGGTGATTATATTGAAGCCAGGAGTCCTCATTTTCCCCATGGTATTCCTGGTTGACCGTCTGCCTTTCTGTAGAGCCCATGTCCTTGCCCATTCCTACTGCGAGCACATGGGAATTGCAAAGCTGGCCTGTGCAGACATTAGGGCCAATGGAGAATATGACTTGTTTTTAGTTTCCCTCTTAGTGATGGATCTGATCATGATTTTCTTGTCCTATGTTCGTATACTACAGGCCGTCTTCCGGCTCCCATCCAATGGCGCACGCCTCAAAGCTCTCAGCACCTGTGGCTCCCACATGGTCGTGATGTTCATATTCTACACCCCGGTGCTTTTCTTGTACCTCACACACAGGTTCGGCCAGCAGATTCCCCATTCTGCCCACATTCTGGTTGCCAGTTTCCATATCCTCATGCCCCCTATGCTGAACCCAGTCATTTACGGGGTGAGGGCAAAGGAGATCCGTGAGAGGGTGCTGAGAAAATTCCCCAGAGAAAGCGCTACTTGGTCCTGTTTCTGCTGATCAGTGCGACCTCTAATAGAGCTTCTCACATCCCAGAGCAATACGTTTGTCTGGGGCCTTTTGAACCTGAACTCAGTAATGACGCATTGCTGTCATTTCTCATCTGCTCTGTGCCTTGGAGAGCTGGGGTGAGACTGGCAAAGGCAAGGCAATATTCTCCTGTCACCAGTGACTTTGCCACTTATATGTGGATCACTTCAAGAAACCAAATTGGTTAAGAGGCTGTGGGAGAACTATAGAACCAATGTGGCCAGCTATAGGAGAGAGACCAATAGATTTGGAGTGCTGGGGAAAGGGCTAAAGTTCTTCAGTCCAAAGCATGGTGATGTCGGGGACTCAGAACCCAGATGGCACGGTTCGTTGTCTGACTGCAGAGAGACCGGCAACACCAGCAAGGTCCAGTGATAAGCTCTTTATTGAGGAGTGCACACAACAATAGAGAGCAGCCCATCTCCAGAGAGAACCAGCCACGGTTTTAACAACTAGTAGGGTTATATAGACAGTTCCGTCGCGTCATAGATTATTCATTTAAAACAACCCGCATCACATCCCCCTTTGTTAGCGAGAAACTTCTAGTATTCATGTATACCTATCCCCATATACAAGCAGCCTTAAGCAATTCATAATGTCTCAGCAACTTTCTTATCAGCACGGTTAACAAGCACCAGAACTAGGAGACAGGGGGAGTCAAGAACATACAAAGAACAGAAACAGGGAGTGGAGGCAGTATGTCTCCTACTCTATCTTCTGAGCACACTGTTCGTAGCACAGCTGGTACAGAAATGCAGCTTCCCTCTTACCTCACTTTTTCAGCTTAAGCAACTATGTCTTTGATTCTGCCCGGGGACCACACAGAAACCTCTGCTGGCCTAATTCTGGTTAGGTTGGCATAACTGCTCTAGAATTTTTCTTTTTGGGCCCAACAGTGAGGAGAACTCAAGTATGGCCTTTGCATCAATCCACACTGCAGGGGTTATGAGGGAGATTCCCACACCTGAGCCATTCTGTTTAGGTGACAGAACTGAGTACAGCTTCCCATACTAGCCAATAGCCATTGGTGGGCCTGGCCTCCAGGGACTTCTCTGGTTCTCTTCTGAATCCAGTTAGACTTCTGGCCTTTACAACATCCCCTGGCTCAGAGATTCCCATGGATTTGGAGCCATCTCTTCTGAGATTCTTCAGGTTCATCTTGTTTTCAATGTGAGACTGTTTGGGTTAAAATACTCATGGGGAACAGGCAGGGACAAAGGAGGCTGTACCAGCAAGGGGCTGTCGGGGGCCAGAGAAATTAGAAAAGCCTCAGGGACACAAGGAGTGGGTGGTGTTTTGTTGGTGTTTCTCCTCTATGGATCTAATGGTGAGCCTCATGCCTCCAGGGTATCCTGGGTTGAAATTTAAATGAAAGCTGAGATTCATAGATTCCTAGGCCTGAAATGCCCCTTGTGATCCTTTGTACATTTTCCCAATAGTTAATTAAGCTCACTGTTAACAATGTGCACCTTATTTCCAGTCTGCATTTGTCTGGATTCGATTTCTAGCCATTGGCTCGTGTTAGACCTTTCTCTGCTAGACTGAAGAGCCCGTTATTACATATTAACTTATAGGCTGATGAAATCACCCATCAAACTTCTTTGTTATGCTAATGGATTGAGCTCCTTGAGTCTGTCACTATAAGGTGGATTTTCTAACTCCTTAATCATTCTTATTGAGCTACTTAGGCACCTGAAAATGGCAGACAGAAGCACTGTATCTAATGTCTATAGAAAGAAAGAAATATATACAGACCCATTAAACACCT